TTGAAAATAAAATGGATTAGAGGACAGAGAATAGATTTATTTAATTTTAGACTTTGCTTAGAGTTAGTTAAAACATTGCTATTAAAAAATATTTGAAAGGAAAATGATATTTTGCAGAACTATTACTAGATATTTGTCAATCATTAAAAGAAGACCCAAAAATATAAAATAAATTAAAATTAAGTATATATTTTTAGCTTCGTATGGTATTTTTGCAATTATTTTATTAAAGATTTGACTAAATATTAATTCATTTGTTTACAGTAAACAAATTTAAGAAGGAGAAAGAATATCTCAGAGATCTAGTTTTAGAGATTTGTTTGAAAATTATAGAGGAATTAAAATTTAAACTAAAATGAATTAATGAGAAATAAATGTATTCATGACTTCTTAGGGTATAATTGTTTTTATTTTATTTGCTTTTTGACTTAATTAATTTATTTTCAATGAAAAAAAGATAAGAAAAAAACATCTCAATATATTTGTCAGAAAATTAAAGTATAAATTCAATGGAATATAAAATGGATTAAAGAAAAGGAAATATATTCATTATTTCTGAAGGTGTTATTGTAATTATTTTACTTAGTGCATGACTTAGAATTAATTAAATTGTTTCCAATAAAAAAAGTTTAAAAAAGAGAAGGAAAATTGCAAAAATATCAATATACTTTTTTAAGAAACAAAATGACAAAAAACAAAAATTAAAGGGAAGAAAATATTTTATTGACTTTTTAGATTTTATAATAGTTATTATACATATTTATAATAATTTTTGAGTCTTGCAAATCAAACCTTTTTTGACGCTTTTTTAATTCTATTAAATTCCTCATTTTCAATAATAATTCTCTATATTTTCCCCCAATTTTCCAAGTTTCCCCTCTCCTTTCTTGCAACACTTCCTTGGATTAAAAGCCAAACGGCTTTTCATATAGTAAAATATTTGCGCAAATCCATCAACAGTTCATTAGAGTCCCATTGCAGGTAGTTTTCGGATGTAGTATCTATATAATTATAGTATATATACGTATATATGGTATATGTGGCAAATGGAATCGAGTGGCAGATGGCTTATTCTGCGCCAAGTTAACGAGCCTCGTTGGCCGCCTAACGAAGCCCCCAATGAAAGCCGGGTATGTTAATGGTTATGGCCTGTAACTTTTAACTCGTAAAGTTACTTGTACCCGGAGTTAGTTGGACCTGTTTTTTTTTTTTTGTTGCTGCGTGCACTTAGCCCAGTCATCGTGGCCAGAACAACGATGAGCTGGTGACATTAATGCCGCGGCCCAAACCGAAGCAGGGGAAAGAAAAAAAATAAAAAGCCAGCAGCGCATAATGCATAATGACAACTGTTGCACAACAGCCCCCTAAGTCGGTTGAGCAATGCCTCAAATTATGCCCCAACATACTAAAGCGGAAAAAAAGGGTACAAGTTTTCTGAATGTTTAATATTTTAAACACTTGTTAGACAGTTTAAAGTTCCCCACAATCAGTAACTAAAAATCATCTTTGATTTGATCTCCTCTCTCTCTTAAAAGCAAGTGCGACAATCTTGCCACTGATTAAAGCCAATATAATGTACCTGTTCCACTAGAAATACATACATATAGCATCTAACCCCGCTGACATTTTGCCTTAAAACTTAAAACTAAAAAAACCTCAAAAGTGCGAAACCGAAACTGAAACCAAAACTGGAAACCTTAACTGGAAACGCAATGAAGATCTAGTCGAAAAAAAAAACGAACCAACTCACCTGGGGTTCAGGGGGTCAGATCGCTGGGCAAGGATTTGGGGCGCATTTGGGGTCTTGGCCAGGCCAACATGTAAGCCATGTTTCCACTAGATTGTCTTGGATAAAACACAAACAATTCAGAAAAAAACAGAGACAAAGTGCAGGTCTTTTGCCTGTCTGTTTTTCTTGTTTTCTGTCATAAACATTATGACACGCGCTTGCAATGTTGATGGACAGATTGACTGACTGAGTGACTGACTGATTGAGGGGCTGTCTAGTAATTACAGCGTTCTAATTGAGGCGCCACAGCCTCCGAGAGACTGCAATTGAATTTTCACGGATAATTTGCTAATTGAACAGCCAAATTAGGCAGAACAGCAACGTGGTTAGATCTTTTTCAAAAGACTCATAAAACACGAACATAATATGCGTGTAAAACAGGCAGCCAAATAGAGTTATTTATTATTATATTTTAGTTAGAAAACAAAGCTACAGTTGAGTGAGATCGACTAAGAGATATCCTAGTACCTAGTGCATTGGGGGTATAATAAAAGGGAGCTAGTTACCTTTGTCTAATTATTTAATTTATAATAATTTATGAAAAACTTGAATTAAATAAATCGAAGAGCAGAAGAAAATGTTGACATATTAAGGCAAATGTTGCCTGGAACATGTTGCTTAACACTCACATTAAGCAACATTTGTAGGTAAATGTTGCACTGCAACCAATTGTGTTGCAAGAGTTTAGCCTTTAAGGCACTTACATATTAATTACACGATTTTGTTTAGAATTAAACTGAAAGACCAAAAATGATATGTCTACATCAACTCGGTTGATGATGCAGATCAAGAATATATACTTTATAGGGCTGAAGATGACTTCTTCTGTCTGTAACATACATTTTCTGTTGGCACTTAGCTTTAAGACCTTTGTAATCTATATAACTAAATAAAATTGAGCTTAAAGTACAAAAGAAAATGACAAGTTATTATGTTTATATTGTTTTATTAAATTAAATTAATTTAATTATTAAATTTAAGCCCAACTGATCACTCCTAAATAGGTCAAAATGTGGCTTTAGTCCACCTCAAGGGCTTCCCTGAGAGACGCATCTCATTTGCTCAAGAAAATTGAAAGTTCCCTTAGCTAAGGTCACCAGGTAAAAGGCATGGAACAGGCAGCAGGTTCTGCCACACTGAGGACAGTAGTTTGAGGGGATTCCCCCTTTAAAAAACAAACCAAATCCCGACCTTGTGACCCACAAAAAAATCCAGACTCTTTTGCCAGCACTTTGCATTTTGGTTTTTGTCTTTGGCTCTCTTTGCCATTTGCGGTTGTTTAAATTTTGTAAATTTTATTTTATTTTTATCACATTAATTTTGCTTTATCTGGGCCATAAAAAGTTAAACAAAAATAAAGAGAAAATAATAAAAAAAACAACAAAATAAAATACCAGTGGGACAAGGTGCGCAAATTAAGGATTATGTTATGTTTCGGTCCCGTTTTTTTGCAGTCACATGACCTTGGCCGAGGCGTTGATTTTATACCGCAACATTGATAAGCAAATTGAACCGATTTATTTTCTTTTGTTTTTTATTTTTGGGGAAAAAACGGGTTAAGTGACGAGTGGTTAGGTTAGTAAGGGGTTAAGTAGAAAGGCATCAAGTCACGACTTTAATGAGAGTGACAGCGAAGGGCTAGAGATCTACCCAAGGATGGCAATTAAAGTCATCAACTGTTGAATTAAAAAAGAAAAGAATGGAAGCTTTATAATTAAACATAAACTAATCCAATTAATATAAATTTATGGAAAATTTAAACCTGAATTTACATAAACTTCTCATTGCAGAGGTGTAATTACTTTATGAAAATGTAAAAAATTGCTCAATAAATCATGCAATCATATTAAATCTGCTAAAAAATTGAGTCCAAGATGATCTCATTCTTTGCAAAGCCAATTTTAATCTCAAAATTGACTTGTTTTGGATGAAAATTACAAGCGATTTATTTAGTTAATTGTTTTGCGAATTCAGAATAATTACACACATATCGAATTGGATTGGATTGGTTTTTGATTGGATTGGGTTTGGATTTGAGTTCAGATCGGATCGGATCAACTTGGAGTGCATTTGCAATGTCAGTTATTAAATTTCTGAATTCGATACGCGCACTTTGACTCCAATTTATCGGTCTCCCTCTGTCGTCCGAAGGCGAGCGACTTGATTAAATTTTCCTTACTTCGCGCACTTTATTTTTATTTTGTATATTTTTTTAAGTTTGAGTTGTTATTCTGCTTCTAGCCTCCAATTGGTACTGGTGCATAAATACGTATAATTTATGCTGATTATTAATCTGTGAAAAAAAGGCGCATTAACATGAGATTTTACATAGGCATTTGGCCATAAGTTGTCTTGAGTTCTAATAGGTTTTTTGCAAAATGCTAAATTCTAAGTCAATGTTAGGGTCAAGGATGGTGGCTTTAGCTAGTAAACACTTTGATCTTTACTTTAATTATATGGTTTATTTTAAGAGTATTTTATTATTCTTGTGTTTTGCTATAAAATGTGGTCGAGGAATACCTTTTCCTAGCTTTTGTTTGACTTTTAGGATTATAAATCTTAAGGAAAACTTTCCTGAAAACAATTAAGCCACAATCCTTTTTCTTTTCAAGAAGTTGACATGCAAATTTTCGGAAAATGGTCTGTTAAAAACCCTTATATAAGCACTTGACTTGATGACAATCCCCTCCAAAAAAAAAGTGCTTGAGAATGCACATTGCGCATACGCCGCGTATGACCGACTTTATCAGAGTGTCTGAGCGTGTGTGTGTGCCTTAATTGAAAGCCAAAGAGTACAAATTAAAAGCGCATTGCAGAAACACCATTAACGAGTAGTAAAAAAAGCAAAATGAAATACAAAAACCCGAAGCAGAAACAACAAAATGACTTAACAACGTTTTCGGTTTTGCACTTTATTGAGCGCTTTCCGTTCACATTTTCACTCAAAACTTGTTCACCTGCGGGCAGCGCAGTCGCTGCGGCAGCTTTTCACTCAAAGAAATCCAACGAAATCCACCGAAACCACAATTCGGATAGCAAATAAAATTCAATATTTCGTGAATGCAAGGCGTCGACAGCGACGCCGGCGCAGGCGTCGACGCCGAAAAGCTCTGCGCATGTGTAACCGATTTTTTGGCCACTGCTAAATCATTGAAGTAACTTTCGTCCGCAGTCATTTGCTTAAAGTTAGTGAACGTGCTAGTATCGCGTATCTGGCGGCGGCTTCCAGACACCAGAAAAATAAAAAAAACTTCGAACCATTTTGCGCTCGAGCTTAAAGTTTGTGTTGTTTTGATTGTATTTATTTTTTTTTACAAGAAAATATAAATGAAAACGAATTTGATTCGATTTGTAGTTGAAATTAATTCCCTGCCCTTTGCTTGCCTTTACTTTTGCAGAGAGAAGTCTTTAAACCACCAGTCTGATGATGAAGTGTACCAAAAGTCGAGTCCTATTAATGCTGGCCGTGCTATCGGCATCGTTATCGTTATCGATATGTGCACCAGCACCGCAGCAGGTCAACGTGGAGCTGGACTCTGCCTTGCAGGATAGCAGTGAGCCGGATTTGAATCCCATCAATGCCGAGGTAAAGTCCCCTACAAATGGTTAGCCTTCCTTTTAATTTCAACTGAAAAACTGAGAGAGAGACTCGAAAAATTCCAATAAGGAAGTTCCCGGGGAAAACTTGATTGTTTTCGATGCTTTTCTTGTGCGCCCCTTCACTTTTGTGTCAGCAGCTAAGCCAGGCTTAGCCATTTGGTGCATTGAACCGACTTCTTTTGGCCATATGCAAATCACATCGAGGTATAAACTCGGCCAGCTAAATTGATACCAAAATAATTCGTTGGCCAGTCGAATGACAGACGACCTTGATGGCGACAAAACTTGTTAACGACCTACGTTAACATTTCAAAACCAATTCCGAAAGAGCCAAAAAACCGAAAAACCGAAAAACCGAAAGCCAACGCCTCGGTTTCGGTCTCCAAGAGAGATGGTCAGAGAGAAACTCATCACACTTCTCTTATTCGCACTAAAAATTGTGAAACATTTCCGCGCCTCCAACAGTTGGTTAATATATATATTTATTTCTCGCCCGTCTTTCGTGTTTATTGATCCAACACACTTTGTTGTGGAAAGCTAATTGAGCAGAGGGAAAATTTTTAAATTGCAAAAGGGGCTTTGAGAAAATCACCATTAAGTCACAGAAAGTCCAGTTCCTGCTTAAATCAAAATACAATTGAATTTGAATTTAAAGATATATATACCTTAAAGCTTAATTCCTTTTACTTCCTGGTGGTTGGAAAATTTTCCTTTACCAACCGTTTTTACAAGTTTTCCACTCCCCAACTCGTTCAAACCTCTCGCTCGCTCTCTAAACAAACTGACCTGATTTTGCTCTATATAAATCATAGCTCACGTTTTTTGTTTGTCACTTCAAAAATGGCCCAAAAAACAAAAGGCAAAAAATAATGCAAAAGGTATACCTTATAGCTTATAGCGTATCGCGTAATGTGTTTAGCGTTTTGTTAAACTAATAAATCGCCCAGTTGGCTTGGCTTTAGTCTGTGTTGGGCAATCTCGAAAAAGATCTCGAAAAACCCTCTCAAAGGGGGAGAATGGCAGAACAATGAGCCCAAAAATTGCCGAGTTTACCCTCGCCTCGAATGAATTGCATAATTTACAAGATATTAGTTGTGATCAAAATCTGTGGGTTGAAGGTAAATCTCGGTTAAACGTTTGAGTCTTTAACTGTCATTTACCTTGTCAGTGTCTTTTGTTGGAAATGATTACTTATCGGGGTTTAAAGTGGGTTTATTATAGAAGTAGCTATCAAATAGATTTCGGAGAAATAATATAATATATAGAAAATATAATAAATAATCAGGGACATAGTCAAGAGAGCTCAGTATGTGTCTTGTCTTGTCAGTCTTGGAAAATATTGTTTCCATGACTTCAATCTTTGAATTATTAGCTCTTAAAACTTGTCATAAAACTTGTCATGTTCCTTGTAAACAAGGTCTTTAGCTAATAAATCTCTTAATCACCTTAGTTACTTCTTTATCTTTTTGTATTTCAATTGATTAGTTACATTACTCTTCAAGATATATATTTTGATGCCCTGACTCTTTAAATATCCTTACAAGTTCCCTGACCTTTTCTCCCTTGATTTTCCTTACAAAAACATAAATGTTTCATAGGTTAAACCCTTGATATTCCTTACAAAAACATGGCTTAAACCCTTGGATTCCCTTGATAAATGTTTCAAATCTTAAACCCAACTTTTGATATATAATTTCAAGTTATCGAATGCAGTTCCGTTCCATATCAAAACCCTTCACTCTCTGACTATGCGTCTTGGTTAGAAATGAGTGAATTTTTTGGAATCCAATTCCGAGTTGCATACATATGACATGCTTTTCGGGCCTGGCCAAAATGCCGAGGTGAATTTTAAGTGTTCAAGTGACCGCAGTATATATATCGCTATAATTTATATATTTATTTATATCAGATAGGCTATAGACTTTGGCTTAGAATGGAGCGAAGGTCCCCGTGTCGGCACAAGTGATATAATTACTTATGTGCGAGTGTGTTTTTTTCTCTTTGGTCAGTCCCCGAAAATTGGGTCAAGTCTAACTGGCCCCGAGTGTTGAGTGTTTTTTTGTATATTCGTTACCCAGTCTTTGGCGGCAATTAAACTTGAAGTCCAAGTCAGAGTCTGAGTCTCAGTTGCAGTCTCACTGCCAGTAAACCAAGTGTAATTAGGCAAAGAATCCAATCGATTAATGCCAGACAAGAGCCCAGAGATCGGCAATTAGGCAAAGATTTGAGACATGACTGGAAATAAATGTAATATATATACTTATAAGATTGTAAGGAGTCCATGAATTAATAAAGGCAGGCAAAGTATGACACAAGAGTGTGTTGACAGCATTTTTTTAATTACTGATATTAGATATTTATGTAAACATTCAATACAAGTTTATGAATGGAAAGTTAACCAGACTAAAATTGTATGTCTTGGCTGGAAAACCTTAATATATATTATTAGAATTTAAAGTCTATTTGAAAGCCAAAGTGAAGAAGGAAAGGCATTTGAACAAATGTATAAATGCAGTCAAAGCAATTGACTTTAAAATAAGTAAAATAAGTTCTACAAGTACCAACTGGTGTTGCCTAACCTGCTCTGTGTGGTGACCCCAAAATTTTCCCCTTCGATTTTCCCTTTTCCAGGAGGTATTAGTTGGCCAAGAGCGCAACAAAAGAAAACTGCCCGATGCCACGTTCGAGGCCAAGAACGCCGTGCTCGGCTTCGTCTTTGGCGTAAGTAAAATCAATCGAATATATAATACCTTATAGCTCATTCCTTGATTTAAAAATTAAATGCAGAAAATCGACAATTTCTTGGACACCAAGACGCGAGTGATTGAGCAACTGGATCGTGCCAATATTGAGAAGAATAAGCAATGGGACATCAAGTCACCGGTTCCCATCAAGGATTTCCAGACCCTGATCACGGCCGTCGTTTCGCCCAAGATCCGTTCACTTGGAAATATTGCCAACGATCTCACCACCGGTGTACTGACCACCATCACAGCCTTTAGTGGCTCCTCGTCTGGAAATGGAAATCCCAATGCTGGATTGGGCAATGTGGTGTCCAAGTTCCTTAGCTTCTCGGGACCAATATTGCAGGGTTCGTCCGGTGGTACTGGTGGCCTTGCCGGTGTCACGACACCTGCCCCCGATTCGGATGAGGCGGGATATTAAGGCTATTAGAATATCCAGGGGATGCTGTGCAGGGATACAGGGATCCAAGGATCCAGCGAGCCAGAGAGAGAGAGAGAGGGAGCTACTTCCGGCTGGAGCCTGTAATTTATCGTTGACCTCCTCTTCCAATCCATCCATACATCAGAGGTCTTTGTTGAACTTACCCCCCTTTCGATCCCAATCCTTATTTTTTTTGTTACACCCTAGTTAAGTATCATGTTTGTAAATATTCGGCATATATATGTATAAATATACAAAATACACCAACACCACAACACAACGATGAAGAAAAAAAGTATAAGAAACAAAAAAAAAAAAAAAAACGAATAAAACCGAGAAAGAAAAAGAAACCCACTCCAAAACCTGGTTTTATTAAGTGGCCTTGCCCTTGAAGAGTGGTAAAGTCTTGGGACCTTGGATCTTTGGATATGATTTCTTGGATTTTTTCTCTATCTCTCTCTGCTGACTGCTCATCTCTGGCCATCACTGATTACTCACCTGAATTGTATCTATTTATCCGGCAGACCCATGGACCAAGGCGTCGAAGGGCTGGGGGCAAGGATCTGAGTGATGCTGCCGAAATCCAGAGTGATGCCTCACTGGAGCTGCCCTCGGAGTTGCTCAACAAATCACTGGTGACGGTCACCAATATTTCCAAGTCACTGTCACGCCTGATTCTGGTGAGTTTGATGTCCTTCAAGGGATTAATTATTATTAATTTGTAAACTCCTTTTTTAACCCAGAACTCGGCCCGTCGTTATTCCCGCTTTGTGCTCTTCTTTAAGCCTGTTTTTGGTGATGCTTTGGTGGTCAAGGGATCTGAGGATCCCACCACAACCACCACAATGCGAACCACCACAACCACAACCACCGAAGAGGCGGCCGATAAGCTCAACGAGATCTAAGACGAATTTATTACATTGTTACCTCGTTTTTTTTTTTGTTTCTAAACTTTACTTGTATTTTTAACCAAATGGGTGTCTTTGTTCCAATGCAAAAAAATATATACAAACAATATTTATTTATGAAGCACTACGTGGTCGTACCATCATACGAACTAATTTCAAAGAACCTTTGGGTCCATCAAGGAAGCCACGCCACAGGATGCCCTTGTAGCCATCCAAATCCCTTTCAAAATTGCGTTGATATACGCCAAAGGGATTGCTAAGAGTTGATATATAAGTTGATACTTTTAAGATATATATCTCAGAAATAAGGTATTCGATTCCCACCTGAGGTTACAGCTGCTGCCATACCAAAAGGCTCCCGATTGCACTGCAGCACAATTCTCCTCACTTTCATCATTATCCCGATCGTGGGTGCTGAATTTCTTTCCAGTGTGCATTCTCAGACCATCGGCAGCATCACCCATATATTTTCCCAGGACATTTAGACGATATTGCTCCGATTCACTGCCAATGCTAAAGTGATCATAGATAGCGTAGCGAAGCTCCTGTTTTCGATTTTGGAGCTGGACAAGCAACTCATAGTTGTCGCTGCTGGTGATCTCATGGAGTCTGTCCAATCCAATGAAGAACTCTAAATTTAGGGGACCAAAACCTATCTTATAGTCTGCCCAAGTGCGATTAAAGGCCTCGTTTCCATTGTTACGATTCACCACCAGGGTCCAGCCACCATCCCTAACTTTCTGATCGCAGAATACAAAGAAGGGTTCCGAATTCTGACGGGGTCGAATGCGGACCAGTCCATGTTGCTGCTTCAAACAATTCTCCGGTGTTCCGGAGACCCCCGAGGTGAGGCCCGGGGCCAGGAGCTGCGGTTGCACATCCAAGCTGGCAAAAGGTCTACGGATTATTACTTGGGAATTAAAGCACTATGAGGGAATTTGAGCGATACTCTTAAAGCTAAATTATATAATAATAGCAATTAAGTTGAGCCATCTTTAAGATATATCTCTAGGAAAGTTCTGTATCAAAAATTATCAAGAACTGATGAATACTATTATCTAAAACTTGTTTAGAAGAAATTGGGTAAGGTTAAAGATACCTGCTTATAGCTTTGGAAACTTTGGAAAGTATCAGACACTACTGTCCAATTTTAATTAAATCTTCTATACTCTATTATAATATAATCGTATAATATAATCTTATAATAGAGCATAGAAGGTTTCATCAAAATCGGATAGTAGCTTCTGTTAATTTTCTTAGGAGAAATTTGTGTAACAATTTCTTCTGATGTGGTGATTTTAATTATGATATTGATTATGATACTTTTTCAATAACTTGAATTTTCAATTTGCGGTTACTGATTAATTATTTTCTTATACTTTCTTTTACTTTTCATAGAAACAATTGTTATAAAAAGTGCTTATGTGGTGATTCTCATTCTGATAATTGTTATGATACTGTTTTAATAATTACAGTTTCCACTACGCGGTTATAATACTGGTTCATTAATGAAAGTTTTCACTAGAGACTTTAGATGAAATCGATCGAAAAGATCTTTAAATGGCAATTCTAAGAAAATTAGTAATGGTAATGCATTATTTAAGAAAATCTAACTAAATGAAAAATACCACAAAAAAATAATATAATAATAATAACATATAATAATAATAAATTTACATATATCTAAAAATTGTCTCATTAGAGGTCGCTTTAACAAAATGGTTGCACAATATACATATCTATATGGTTTTTGGTATATTGCAATTATTTGCAAAAACGTAAACAACATAAAAGCTAAAAGAATAAACTAAAATCTATACTTCTACGGCATGTATAGATGTATTTTTTTGGGTGTAAATTAAAATATTCTATGTTCATTAGAAAGTTAAAAATAAATATAAGATTTTCTACATAAATTATTACAAGAGATTTAAAACGAATGAAATGTGATGTCCTACCTTTACCATTGTTTACATTTTAAGTCAGTTTAAAGGTAGTAAAATAATGAATAAATAATAGTAATAATAATAAAACAAACAACATAACAACAATATTATTAGTATCAACACAAAGGAAATACCCAAAGAACTAATATTCATTTAAAATTAAAGTATTGTGAATTCCTTTCCTGTGAATATGCTTCCTAAAATGAAGCCAAATTTATACACATCTTTGTAAACTTAAAAGAAGCGGTATGCAGCACAACACTTTCATAAATTCTCTAAACATACATATTTAAATATCAGAAATTTTCTTACTTTTAAAAAGTAAATTTTTCGCAAATAAAAACCGTTCAAATTCCCCATAATGCACTGACATGACCTCTTCTGATCATCTTAATTATTACTCACAAACGGGATCCCAGAGTGGGTGAGGTCAAGGCCACCACTGGAGGACCCCCGGTCCTCCTTAGATCCGCCAATTGTTCCTGCAAACTTCCAATCTGTTCCTTAACACTGGCAATTTCCTTATTCAGTGTTTGAATGCGAGTGGAGAGGCCACTTATAGTGGGAACAGGACAACTAATGGAGCTCTAAAAAGGAGCAATATTAATATATAAACAATAAAATGTTATTGATATTAATATATCGAATCACCATCGGTGAATCCCCTCTGACTTTTAAACTTTCTCTGAGCTTCAAGTTAGCAAAACTTGATTTATATTCCCTGGTTTTGAGATATATATGTAGATATACTTGTAACTCACGGCATTTTCCAGGGACGGAGGCACCATTAGACCACCGCCCAGATCCGTTTGTGTGGTGGAAAGACAGGCCATGGCCATGACCAAGGCATCCAGCTGCAGCATCTGCGACATATTTAGGCAGTGTCTAAGCCACTAAACACCGACCGACCAAGTAACTAAGTAACTAAGTAACTGACTAAGCTAAGCTAAACTAACTGCCGATCTAAAGCGCAGTGCGAATGCGAATGAGAATGCATCTGACTGCCAAAGGTCAGTTTGAGGGGGGGAATTAGTTTTTCACATTGGATTCTATTCTATATTGCATTGGAAAACCAGTATGCTAAGCGGAATTAATAAGTGTTGGGCAGTGCTTTCTCGTGCAGTGATTGGGTATGAAACGCTTTGGGAAATTAAATAAAAGCTAAGTCTATAATTTGCTCAGATTTTTTCCTTTCAGAAAACATATTAAATTATAGAGAATTAAGATAGTGTAGTTTGAATAAATCACGATTTAATAGAGTGTTAATAAACTTGGATTCTCAGCGATTCACAGTGATCACTTCACTTAAACTTAACCCACAGCATCTCTGATCATTTAGCAGCTAGTTATTGATAGGCCCGTGGATCTAACTTACTTAGTCAGTTGCCCCAACGAGCTGTTGCAGTCGCTAGCACATATTGCCTCTGGAATCGGTGTTTATATATATATATACATATATATATATATATATATATATATAGGAATCACCTTGGGCTCAGCATGGCTCTGGAGACACTCGTCACGGCCTTGGCCTGCCTCAGTTCCACCACGTTGAATTCCACGGAAAATGCAGCGGGAAAACCACTTTCCGTAATAATGCGAAATTCCGCAGAACCATTCCTGATGCCTGAGAATGTGGGTAAGGCCAATTTGAAGCTAAACAAATGGGTTTTAATTCTTTAATTATTTTCTTAAAGGAGACTAGCAGTTGTCCTGTGAGCACATTGGGTGCCCTGACAGCTCGGTAAGTTGACAAGGATCATAGGAAAAGGAGCAAGTGATTCATTTTTAGTAATTTTTAGCATACAATTTATGACCGATGAGTTGCAAAATTTGAGAAAGGAATTGGACGAATTGCAACAACTGGTTGAGGAGTTTAAAACACAACCAAGTGCCGGAATTCCTGTGGAAACCAGATTGTAAGCTTTTAGCTTTTATAATAGGAAATTTTTGATAATTCTTATTAAATATTCCCTATTTAGTCTCAACCAAAGACCTGTCATCCTGCAGAACCTGCCGCCTGTAACGCCTATGGATGATATACCTAGGAATTGTTATGATGAGAAACATGGCCAGGTGAGGATTAGGATCGCTCCGGATATGGATCCCTTCTTTGTTAGCTGCGATCAAAAGGAACGCGATGGCGGCTGGCTGGTCATTGCCTACAGATACGATGGCAGAGAGGACTTTAATAGGGATTGGGTGACCTATAAGGCCGGCTTTGGTGCCCTCAATACGGAGTTCTTTATTGGATTGGAAAAGCTACATCGCCTCACCAATAGTGAGCATCATGAGCTGCTCGTGATAATGAAGAATCAGAAGGGAGAGGAACGCTTTGCCATCTATGATCACTTTAGCATTGGCAGTGAGTCGGAAAAGTATCTACTATATGTGCTGGGTACTTATAGAGGAGATGCTGGGGACTCGTTGCGTTATCATGCTGGCAAAAAGTTCACTACCTACGATCAGGATAATGACGATAATGGTCAGAATTGCGCCAGGACACATGCAGGAGCCTGGTGGTATGGTCGAGAGTGTGTCCAGAGGTGAGTGGAGAATATTTTATAGTCCTTGGAGGTAAATCTTAAACAATCCCTTCCTTTGCAGCAATCTCTTTGGCACATATCAACCAAAGTTTGGCCACGAAATTGGCTACTTCAAGGGCATCCTGTGGAAACCATTCCTGCCGGGACCCAATGGATCCCTCAGCTACGTTCGCATGCTCATCCGACCGATTAAGAAGTCACCCTAGAAGGCGATACCATTATTATTATCAAAGACTTACAAAACCTTTAGTTTGTAGAGTGAGAATTTAGAGCATTTCTCTCTCATTGCCTTGCTTGGCTGATTCCAAACGGGTTTTAATTATTGCAATTAATATATATATATTTCGCATTAAGTGATGTTCAATTAATTGGCATACAATACACATCACACACACACACACACCAGGACTGGGGCACTTGGGGGAAAATAATGCTGCTCATTAATGGCATATTATCATGAGAAAATTCACTCTGCTCATTTGCATACAAAAGCGTTCTGCCCCAAGAAAAGGGGTGCCTCCGGGGGAGGTGGAGGCTTTTTTGCTAAGCAACTGAAATTGTTTTTCTCTAAAAATAAACACAGAGAGAGAGCAAGAGCGAGGTTTTCCATATGCATTTGCCAATGCTAATGATATCGAACCGTGTTCGTCCACACTGCGTATACGTAATGCCACGGGGACACGGGGCGTATGCGTAATGCGACTGTCATTGGCACCAATTGTCCCCCCGCTCCTTTTGAAAGAAAAACACGAGTAGAAGAAAAACTTTGACAGGCAACGGAATAAATTTCATAAATTTCATACAAACCAAGCAATTGAATGTGGAAAGCGTTGGTGGGTGGGAGGAGAGTAAATAAGCTCCTGTGCAATTGTGTGCCAAATTCAATAAATAACAAGTGAAAAACGAGAAGCAAACCCTTCGTTAAATGCCCTTATTAAGAGGAAAAATATATTTAATTGCAAGTTCCTTAATCAGAAATTCTTTGTAACTAAAAGGCAATGTTTTTCCAGTTTGTTTCAGTTTAAAAATATGCAAAAAAAAAAAAAATCATCATAGAATTATTATTTGTGAAATTTTGCAGTTCTACTTTTTTCAACTTCCTCGCATAGTTCACATTCCCCGAAATACACTCCAGAGTACCATGTTTGCCGGCTCATTGGCGGACATGATAGTAAATAAATTTCGGCCCCCAAAAACTTTTTGACAGAGTCTGAAAATATTAAACAAAGCACACGATGCCACAAAACTCGGCTGACAATGAAATGTTGGCCCAAAATGCTTGGGTGTTGGAGCTACTTCATCAAGTTGCGCCACCTCAACTTCAACTTCCACTTGTTTTTGGCCTTTGTTTCGATTGTGTTCCATTCTTTATTTCATTCTTTATTTTTTTCCTGTTGTGTTTTTTGAATTTTCATAAAACTTTTGCTCGTTTGCCGCTAATAAATTATTTTTCGGAGGAAAAGTTTGGCTCTCGCTCTAAGCTGTCCGCAGAAGGGACATTTCTCTGGGGGAAAGGACTTCGATACCGATTCCGCAAAACTGCATATTGTCCTGGATTTTTATTTGGGGGGAGGACATTACAATTCTCGTTTGCTTCGCGCTTGTTATTCCTGTGTGTGCGCTTTGTTCATAAATAATTTGCGCCACAACTCAATTTCATGAGCGTAAATCACTGTGTGGTCACTGGGCACCCCTGTCTGCCTGTCTCTTTCCATTGTTTCTCCCTCTCTCTCTCTCTCTGTCTTTCTCTTCCTTTCAAATAATTCCCGGACTTGTCGGACTTTTCCGACTTGTGTCGGCTTTATTTCACGTTTGTTTTCCTTGCCAGCCATTTACCATACAATTCCTTATTTATGTCCCGGCCAGTGAAAGTTTTTCACTGACCTCCCCTGACTTCTCTCCTTTTGATGGAAGGACATACGGGAGTGTCCTGTGACTTTGTTGTCTTATATGTATGTATATGTGGCACTGGGAGGGGTGTTAAATCAACACAAAGTTGTGACAAACTTTTCAATTGGCTTGACAAATATAAAGAAATTTACAAGAGGAAAAAAAGGGACAATGGACCCGGCAGGACAATCAAAATTCGACTGTCCCACGTCCTTTCGTCATAATAAAAGTGATTTTTCTTCTTTAGTTGAAATAAGATGGAATTTGAAGTTGTCTTCAGGGAGTTGCTTTACGTTTTTCGAAGAACATTTAATATACAATTGATGTTTACACTTCCATTATAATAAAATATATTTAATCATTTAAAAGAACCCTCTAAAATCCACTTAAATATATTTAAATTACCATATTGTTCACACGAAATAATAACCCTGAGTATGTAACAATTACATCCCTTGGCTCCATGATTTATCAAACCATTAAATATGGAATTCCTTGAGAAAATCCAACGAGTCAAGACGGAAATCGTCACTTGATCGTCCTTTGGGGAAAGTTTTCTCGACTCTTATGCCATTTCTTTTCTCCTGGCTAAGTGTATGCAACAAACACTTTAATGCCCTGATACACATTCCGCACATGAAGTTGCAATAAAAACAACATTACACTAAATTCTCATATTTCTCTTGCCTCCCCACCAGCTTGTTTATTTCCAGCCCAAAAACAAAAAAAAAAGGGGGGGGAAGGAAAAAGCACAGAGGGAAAGCACGGAGAAAAGCGGATGGAAGGGTGTACTGGCTGATTTTCCCCCCGTTCAGAGCGGCAACAATAAATTGCAATTCCAAGTCACTTAAATTGCAACAAATAACAGGAGGCAGCTTGACAGGAGGAAAACGCAAGCTGAGCAGCAGCAGCCCCGTGAGATGTCAACGTGTTAAGGGCTGACAAAAGGCTCATGGGTTAAGGGAGCGATGGCAAAGGGACTTCCCCTTGGGAGAGGAGGCTGTCATCCCGTTTACCTTGGGCTCATCATTATAGGGTTCTTTGGGGTTCCACAGATCTCAGATATATACAATAAAATTTGGAGTGTAATCTCCATATATTTAAATAAACCTAATTACTGTTAAAGTTCTTCAAATTATTATTTTATAGTTTCCTATTCCTTTTTACCATAATAACTGTCTGTTAAAGTTGAAGCTTAGCTTCCGTTTCCTTCATCCCTCGGAGCTGGTTGCCATTCCATTTGGTTTATGTTATGCCATTTCTGTTTGCCACTCACCAAAAGGCAATAGCGAAATTGTGCAACAAAATGTGTCAAGTCTGATGCATGGAGGACGCTGCTTTCACCAGGACATTCGCCTTAGACAACTTGGCTCTTATTGCATTTGGCCCAAACAAACACAACAGTTTTTATGACTCTGACTCTGACTCTGATTTATTTAAATTGAGAATTATGCTCCTCTCAGTCCCTTTGCAATATTTAAATAGATATAACTATTAAATTTTATTTAAATGTGCATTTGCTTTTAGCGACTGGACACACAAAAACGAAATGAAATGCATTAAAAATGCATTTACAGCAATGAACCGCAAAATGGCGACAGGTGTGGTCAGGTAGCTGGGGTCATGTGGGGTCAAACAAAGACTAAGCCAAAAAAATTAAATAAATAGGATACAAAAAAATCTAGTCAGATGCCAATAGAAAGAGCAAAAATTCTCAAGAGGGATTAGCATATGAAATAAGTAGAAAACAGTGGGAGAAAATATAATATTGTATACGATAAATCACTAGTGTTTTAAGAGTCCTTAAAAGGGTGTATTGAAAATTTTTAATTTATTTTCTACAGTATTAAAATCTGTGTTTTGATTTTTTTGTTAAATAATTAAACTTTTGTAACCTAGTTTTTGACAGTTTTTTTAGAATTTTTAAATCCCTCATTATTGCTTAAGATCCGACAATATTAGTTTCAATTCTTTATAATTAGGTACAAAGTCTAAAAATAAATAAATATATAACTTTAACTATAATAACTATAACTTTATAGATATATTTTTTACATATTTTACAATATTTTAGTTAAGTTCTTTATATTTCTATCTATATTAATATTTGTATATCCCTAATTATAATTGTATTTTGTATATTGATTTATATAGTGTGCTCCAGAAATCACTTAAAAACTTATAAAAAATGTGTTTTTAAATATACACAACTTCTTTTTGGAAAATAATACAGTTTTAGTTTTCTTCACTATTTAAAAAAATATAAAAACATAAGCATAATTTTTGGCACCTTTTCAAGGCTTTGTATTTTATTTATTTTGATATTTTCCAAAAGTATTGCTATATTCTCAAATTAAAGTTAAGCTTTTAAAGTCTGTATCTATATGTATAAACATTTATACCAGATAATCCAATATTATACACTAATTTTGTTTATAAAATATATATTTATTTTTATTATTAGATTCCCTTTTAACCTTTAGATAAAATTATCTATTTAATCAATTTATTCAATCTATTTAATTCCAGTGTAATCATAGGGATTAATATGCATTTGCCATAAACATTGTTTGTTCACGTATTTAATGAATTCGATTTAATTTGTTTTGCTGCTAAATAATTTCCATAAATAAATAAGCGCCTGCCTGTTGGCCATTTTTTGTTTTTGTGCTTGCCATTTTTGGCCAACGAAGCCTGAAAGTTGGCTTCAATTAGTTGACGGATCAACTGGAACTAACCCCCAACTTTTCGGGCAACAACCACCTGCCCCACCGCCCACATTTCCACAGTTTTAGCCCATTTCTCTTCTTTCCACTCGGTTTTTCACCATTCTTGATTTTTTGTTGTTTTGTTTTCTGTGTTTTCTTTTTGCTATTTTTTTTGTATTTGCTTCTTTTCTCTTTGGCCGGAGTGGCCTCTTAATTAAAACGAAATGTTCACAGCCGCTTGGGCAATTCAGTTAGTTTCAATCTTCCCGCTCACCTGGCCATATGCCCCCACCCCCCAGCCCCCTCATCCCCTCACCCCTTCGACCTGCCACCCCCTTTGTTGGCCACCCCGCACATAACTCATAACGATTCGGTCAGCCAAAACTGCTGAAACTGAAAAAATGGCAAACAGAAGTCCGAAAAAAATTGGTCAGGCCAATGGCTAAGCAGTCTTGCCAAAAAAAATAAAGGATGAGAATATAGAAAAAACATAAAAACTAGCAAAAGGAACAAGAAAGGAAGCTAACACTGGCAGAACGAAGTCTTTGTGCCCTTTCTAGCTGTAATTTGTTTTTTTTTGTTTGTTTGTTTTTGTTTATCGATTTATTTTGATTGAATAAAAAACTATTATATTATATTATAATTATTAGTAATTCAATTTTTATCAAATATAAAATATTTTCAAAATATTAATTCAGTTGAAAAGATTCTAAAGGATCGTTCGAACAGCCTTTTAAGAATGTTGGGAAACGCTGCTCTCGCAAATGCTGATCATAAAACACCCCCCGTAGGACCCTTCA